ATGCTTTAACTAAAGCTTGTCAAACAAGCTTTCGTTCAGGAGCCCCGCACTGCCATTTTGAAGCATGGGGACACTGATACAGGAGATGCAGGAGGCTGCTGGAGCATGGTAATTACTACGCTCCAGCAGACTCAGTTAATCGAGTCTGCTCCGACACGCTGTAATTACAGCACGTCAGAGCAGCCTCCCCACTCACGTACGGGCACCCTATACCTTCATTAGCTGCATGTGTACTGAATGGATGTATTCCAGTTTTGAGGGAAATGATCCTTGTAAAAGAGATCCAACCCTGGAGAGAGCACTATTGTGCCTGGTGAATGATCCGGAGAAAAGTATGTCACTGGTTATGGGGGGTAGTACATTACTATTTTTAATATGTTAATCTAATCTTCATAAATAAGTACTTTTTTTTTTAGTTGCAAATACTAGTATTTGAGTATTTAAACCTTTCCCATTTTAGTTGTTAAAGCTGAGTCTTGGGTCATACAAAAACATTTATGAACAGGCTTGGTTTTATTCTTGTGAGTAAGCCCATGAGTCTAACTGGGAATACCTCTTTAAAGAAAGTTAGACATGCATTTATGATTTTCTCGGGTTTGGGATGTGGACATCAGCACACTCCTTACTTGGAAGAGTTTATGTTATCTGGAAATCTGGGTCAATCCTGTTTCAGTTAATTGCTGTCTTAATTGACACTGTAGGCCTGATGCAGAGGCCATTAAAACCAATGGTAAGACTTTGATTGAGTTCAGTAAGTTTGGGTGATATTCTGAGTGCTTTTTAAGGTTCTAATAAAGCTAAGATAGACTATATTGTATGCAATGTGCATTAGAGGCAGGGATTTTATATAAATATAATGTTCACATAATATAGCAATACTTAAAATAATAATGACAGTAAGTAAGTATACTTCCTTTCATGTGAAAGAGGTAAAAAAAAGTACCTGGCCAATACAGTACCATTAATCTATTCTCTTTTCTCCTTTCTCTCTTTACTTCTCTCTCTACAATAGAAGTGGAACAAAAAGGTAATTAAATACCTTTCAAATTATATATATTACTTATTTATAGGATAAGTTATTTAACAGTTTAACGTTTTAGTTGAAATATCTGTCATTAATTCTCACTTATTTTTCGTTAAAGTTTATTTAGTATCTCTGCTGCTCAACTTCTCTAGATAACATACTCTTCCTAAAAAGATTTGCCAGTGTCAGTTGCCTTGGTTAAACTTCTATTTTAAGGTTGTAAAATAATTTCTGTCTCTCCTGCCCCTCACAAAGAGGCCTTCCAGACACTATTCCCTATTCCCCAGCTACAATAGGTAGCTTTTCTGACTCCAATAAAGCTAAGCTTCATTATATCAGCTGCAAATCTAGCCCACAACTTCCTGTATCTTCTGAATTTATGATTTTCTCATGCTAGTCTCTCTTTTCTGAGGACTTCACCGGTTATGAATTGTTTAACAGAAGTGATATCCTTCTAAGCAGCAAATGTGCATTCAGCGATCCTATCTGCCAGAACTATGCTAACAAATATATCTCATAGGATGCTTCTGCTGGGCCATAATCATGCCATTATTATTCTCACAAGATCATTGGCTTAATATTAAAGTGATAAGGCCCATCCAATTCCCAGTAAAGTCAGTGGTAGAGCTCCCATTGACTTCATGTGTTAAATCAGACCCTCAATGTCATTTGCAAAGCACAACCAGCAGTAGGCTGGTTTTCCAGTTGGATCCGCACAAGCTCAGATATCCACCCACTACCCTCTTGCTTTGAATCAATAATTTTAAAAAA